TAAATTTACCAAACTCCATATGTGGGCTTTTATTTTATTTTTCCTAAATTTTATTTATTTCCTTTGAAATATATTTGATCTTATCCTTGGGTGTTTAGATTTTTCTTATTCTACCGAAATGCATCTTATTTAAATTATATGACTCTGTGGCTAACAACGACACAAACCCAACAAAATTTCGACGTTCTCAGAATGAAAGAAAACTAAAAAGAGAAATCAAATCATTGTAAGGATAATATCAAATATCTCCAAATAGTATTAAATAAAATTTGCGACAAATGATATAAAATAAAACAAATAGGAACTTTGCTAAAATTACTGATCACATAAAACAACTACTTCGGAAATATAAGAAGTTAATAAAAAATCTGATTGTATTTTTCGATATTTTTCAACTAATATATATATATATATATATATATATATATATATATATATATGATTATATTTCCGTTTTTGTCTGTTACAATTTCTTAAGATTATGATACCGTCGTCCCTGTAGTGACCTATGTCATTTTTATCGATTATGCTTCTTAGGTCATGTAGTAAATATATACATATAAGCTCGAAGGCCTATTCAACATCAAAACTTCCCATCGTAACGTCAACGATTCCTTATAAAAGTGAACACCGTCTGTTTCATGCTTGAACGCATTCGACTATTTATATATGCCGGTCAGTGGTGTATTATGGGTAGCAAAGTCAGTCGTAATGTCCTAACGGTTTATTGAGTGGGAGGTAACGGCTATGCTTCAAATTATTGATTATTATTATTATCATTATTATTATTATCATTATTATTATTATTACATTTTCTTGTGTTTCTGTGTGTATTTATAGTTTGTTATTTTTTATTATTTACTTAGATAGATAGATAGATAGATAGATAGATCTACATAAGCTCTCTCTCCAATAGGTCACACTTCCCGATCAGAAATATAGCAAATTTACACATACAGACACATGCAAACGCAGACACACACACACCAAGCACACATACACACACACACCAAGCACACATACACACACCAAGCACACACACATACACTTACGATATTGAGTCACCCCCCTACGAGGGTGTCACGTGGCACAAGGCCTTTTTAACGTGGGCATTCCGAGCCTGTGGGCTCGGCCAAAAATATGCCCATTGAACCCGTATATACGGGTTCAGGGCCGGTTTACCTCCCCGAAGGAGACTCCGCCCTTCGGCGGAGCCTCCTTTGGGTTCCTCCCGTCCGTTGGAAGAGAGTACAACCGAGCAGTCGGTTCAAAAGTGAACAACTGACTCACACATACACTCACACACACACATATACATATATATAACTTTTTTTTAAATATGCATTTTTCTCTCGTTGGAACAATTATAACCTTTTCCATATATATATATATATATATATATATATATATATATATTCAAAATAAATGCATTAATAATTAAATAGGTACACAGATATCTTGAAAGTTACTGTCGCCATTTGATGTTGATATCAGTGTCCACACTTTTTATGTAAGATGGAACCAGTATGTACCTGTAAAACACGACAAATTGAACATCAAATTGGTGTTCCGATGCGCTTCCCTCTTTGGTACTGTGGCTTGATGAATTTAAGTGCAGTACTAGATTGGCAGATAGGTCTCATCATTTTGCAGATGAAATGGCCGTAAGTTCTATGCTAACAGTCTCTTCGCTTGCACTTCTCGCTTGTGGTACTCTCTTCCGGCATCTTGCTTCCCAGTAAACTTTGATCTTCAAAAATTTAAATACAATGTCAATCGTTATCTTCTGTCTTCTTAATTCTTGTTCCTTTATTGTCCTCTCTCCTTAATAGTAGTTTTTCTCATATTCTCTAACACCCAGTAACCCCCTTGCGTCCTAGTGGCTTTATTGCCTTTGATCTTCAAAAATTTAAATGCAATGTCAATCGTTATCTTCTGTCTTCTTAATTCTTGTTCTTTTATTGTCCTCTCTCCTTAATAGTAGTTTTTTCTCATATTCTCTAACACTCAGTAACCCCTTGCTTCCTAGTGGCTTTATTGCCTTTGATCTTCAAAAATTTAAATGCAATGTCAATTGTTATCTTCTGTCTTCTTAATTCTTGCTTTTATTTTCCTCTCTCCTTAATAGTAGTTTTTTTTTATATTCTCTAATACTCAGTAAATCCCTTGCGTCCTAGTGACTTTATTGCCTTTGATCTTCAAAAATTTAAATGCAATGTCAATCATTATCTTCTGTCTTCTTGATTCTTCTTTTATTGTCCTCTCTCCTTAATAGTAGTTTTTCTCATATTCTGTAACACTCAGACCCCCCCCCTTGCGTCTTAGTGGCTTTATTACCTTGCTTGGAGGGAAATGATTAAAAAATAAAATATTCTAATGAACATATTTCTCTACAATCCACCGAGTGGTCAGAAAATGAATTAATGCTGCGAAATGTCAAGAGAAAATTTTCTATTATTATTGGTGGAGCATTTTTTGTCAATATTTCATTTATAAAATGCACAGAAGCACGGAATTTATTCTATAAGCTTGTTTATATTCGCACAAATTCAGTAAATCCTTATCTAATTTGTCACTTGCTTTTCCTTTGTCACTTTCATCTAAAATAACGTGTTATGTGACGTTTTTTGTCGTTGCGTTTTATTCTCTGTCTATATTTTATGTCACTAGTTAATCTTACGACATGTCTGATCTTGCTCACGCTATTTAATGTCGTAGGAGGCATCAAAGGAAGATCGAAATCACTAATCAGTAGTAATGATTCATAAAACTTGCTCTTTTAAATATGGCTGCACGCCGAAACGGTTCCTCTTCTAAGCTAAAGCAAACAAATATATAAAATTAATAACCTTTAGTCATAATTATATAGAATAATGAACAATGCAACTTTCCCACTATGTTTCTTTGTTTCTCTGCCCATAAATTCTGTCTCATGACAGCAGATATATAAAAATTTAGATATATATTTATACTGATGACATAACGATTTTCTCTTGTCTTAATACTAAGTCTGTTAGGTTTGATGAAGTAAAACTGGCAGCTGCTCTTAAAAATTACTTCCAATCAGTTGTTAACTGGGGCAAGAAATGGCTTGTAAATTTCAACTCCAAAATGAAAGCGCTATCTTTTAATCATCCTAAAGAAACATTAGCCTTCCATCAGCACGGCTGATGCTAACCTCTGCGATTATGACTTATTGCAGCTACTTGGTCTCATGTTTTCCTCTGACATGAAATGGAATGATTATACTGAATTAACGAATTCCGCTTGGAAGACGCACCCTAATATTGGAAAGAAATTTCTAAGAAAAAAAATAGTAATTCTCATACAACAACACATTCCCCATGCGTCCCACATACTGGCGCCTAGTGTTGTTTTCATTAATCACGCGTCCCATTTTGTTTGTATGGCAGTGACATACTAGTCAAGAGTAGCAAGGATCCCGCCGCTTCTAGAAAACAGAGCATGTTTAAGTTTGTGGCTCGGCTCCAGGAAGGTTTGTAGTCTTGGAAACGCTTGTAACAGCTAAGTACTGAGGTTACATCATATATAAGGCTGAATTAGATAGCTAACATTATAGTGTAGGGACTCGACATACAAATCCACGTCCCTATCAGCCAAGCCAATTAGATGACCGTTCAAGCTTACTTGAACCTGGGCGTTGCCTTACATTCATCTTTGGAGACGCGCATATATTTTTCAGGGTATTTTTAGGAAAAAGCGTGTCTTATAAGCCGGAAGTTACGGTCTACAGGATAATGAACAATGCAACTTTCCCTGTATGTTTCTTTCTTTCTGTTTTCTCTCTCATTTTGTCCATAGATTCTGTTTCATGAAAACAGATAAATAAACAAATGAGTCCTACCCTTTAATCATCATTATATATAATAATGAACTTTCGCCATGTTTCTTTCTTTCTCTATCTATAAACTGTCACATTAAATGAAAATCACATCTAAAATCAACAACTGGACCCTGCCCTGAAACGAACACTCGATCGATCTGACGGTCAACAAGCAAATGACTTATCCCATATGTTAGTATACCGCTGTTTAGATGGTACAATAAAATTCAATTTACAAATACTAACTTGGGTTGCCCTCTCCAATGTTTTATCGAATCTAGGTAGACGGCTGAAAAACAATACTTTTTATACTTGGCCGAGTGAACAGACACTACACTGAAGTGCCGTTCTACACGTACGTAAATAAACATGTCATTTTTGACGAGTACCATACTAGACATATTATCCTTCATTGTTTTACTTACCTCTTATTTATCTATATATCTTCTTTTTATTTTCTTTTTATGTCCGTCGGTACGAATAAGGGGGCATACCTGAACATTCTGTGCCGATCTCAAATAAATACATATCAATCATTGTGGAGTGAGGAGACATATGCTCTGCAATCGATGGACTGCAATCGCTGCATGTTTGGCTTGCATTTAACTTTTTCATTTGTGTAATTGTCTAAACCAGGTATGGGCAACCTTTTCCAACCAGTGGGCTACATCAAGTATAGCTTATCATAAGGCGGGCCGCATTACTAAAAGGATGCAAGATAACTTTTTCGGGGAAGCTGTCTCAGCCATTTTCGTTACAGAAGATCATACACGTAAGCATCTGCCAAAGAAATAGTAAAAGGTTGATTTTTTTTGGAGAAAAGATTTCTCAGTAATTAAAAGAATGAAGTCCAGGTATAATTTTATTACAGATGATAGTGATTAACGTATACTGTTGCATGGGATTAGTTTCTTATTTATTCATTTGAAAAAACAAAAAGTAATTTTTAAATTAAAACAAAACATTTTTACGATAAAAAATGTTTTTTCTCCAAAATTATTGTTTCTAAATAAAGTGATATTTACACGGATGGTCTTCCTTAGTGAAAATCGCCAATCGTTGAAAATGATGAAAACCTTATTTTATTTATTGTTATGCCTCTTGATTCCTTGGGGAACATAGGGCCCCAACAACACCTCCCCAAACGGACGCGGTTCCGAGCGAACCTCTTCAGTCCGGCCCATGTCGTGCCGGATGCCTGCATCAATACTTCTGCGCCAAGTCTGTTTAAGTCGACCTACTTTTCGCTTCCCTTGTGAATTCAGCCAAGAGCCTGACTGGTGGCACTAGAAGCAAACTTGCGGAGTGTCTGGCTAATCCAGTCCCATTTCCGTTCCTTGATGTTAATCTCGATTGAGCTTGTCTGGTCCTGTCCCACAGTTGGTCGTTTGAGACAACTTCCGGCCAGATGAAAACATTACCTTCAAGAAAAAGTCACAAAATTCAAGAAACGCTTGTGCTTATCATTGTTTATGTGGTGATGCGTGAGATAATGTGAGTGAACAAGTGAGGACGAAATGAAATAAACAACATTTTAATAAATCTTATTTTCCTCATGGAATACGGCGTGCCATTCAGAAAGCGAAACGGGTCATATGTGGGCCTCGGGTCACGTGGCCCTCATGCCACACTTTGCTCATGACTGTCCTAAGTTCAGATGGGTTGATTTCATGTTTATATTGTTGCACCCACTGATATCCTGTAAGGCCCGATTATTCACTTGGCGACATTGTGGACACCTTCTAAGTCAATCCTTAAGGTTTCTAAATTTTTGAATTTTTGAGTTGATGCCGACTACAAAACCTATTCTGGTATCTCTTAGGGTTAACCCAGTATTGATTGAAGCCACCACACATCAACTAATTAAAATGATGAAAACGTTAACTTTGATGTAAGGTTATAAAATTCAAGAAACGTTTTGCTTAATCATTGTTTGTGAATGTGGTGATGCGTGAGAAAATGTGAGTGAACAAGTGAGTACGAAGCGAAATAAATAAAATTTTAATAAACATTATTTTTCTTATGGAATTCGGCATGCCATTCAAAAAGCAAAACGGGCCACATGTGGCCCAGCCCCCACTTTGCCCATGACTGGTTTTAATCCTCGTTTTAATTTTTGCGTCTTAATACCGCCAGTAAAAGATACTTGGAACGATTTCTTCAAACGGTAAATGAAAAAAATAGACCTTTTTTTTTATCACTGTCGACTATGGACTATCGACTGGCTGAACTTACTTTTCTGCCTTTTTTTTTTTGCCTTCCTTTTTTGCCTTTCCCTCCCTTTCTAGCTTTCTCTCTATCCCCTCTCTTTCTTTTTCTCTCCAATCTCTCTTTTATCTTTCTCATTCTCCCCATTCCACCTTTTCTTCTTATTTTTCATTGTCTCTATCAAACGTTCTCTCTCCCTCCTCACTCCTTTTTCACCTTTCTCTCGCTATCTCTCTCTCTCTCTCTCTCTCTCTCTCTTTCTATTTCCATTCTAATTCTTTGTCCTTCCGTCTCTCTCTAGCCCTTCCCTTTCACCATCACTCCTTTTCCCAGTCCTTACTCTCTCTCTCTCTCTCTCTCTCTTTCCTTCCTTTTTTCACTCTCCCTCACACTCTGTCCTTCCTCTCCCTTCCGTCTTACCTACTCTTTTCCTCATCCCTTCTTCCCTCTTTTCTTTCTGCCATCAGCAGGGCTGATGCTAAACTCCAGAAGCGCAACACTTTACGCCTTCTTGGCTTCATCTTTTCTACAGATATGAAGTGGAGTGGTTATATCGAATCAATAGCTGCATCTACTGCTAGGAAAGTTGGTTCACTGTGTCTTGCAAGACTATTTTTCTCGTCAGAGTTCATCTTGCACATTAAAAATCTACCATTTGTCTGTATATTGATTACTATAACTGGTCTGCTGCTCCTGTACCTCTCAAGATTCAAAATCCAGAGAAGGATCTGTAATGTAATCAATCCTGACCTGGCATCTCAAATTCAATCACTTTCTCACCGACGTGACCTGGCTTTTCTCTGTCCTTTCTACAAATATTTTCCCTTTCAATACTCTGATGAGCTTTTTTTCCCTGGTGACACAACTACTAAATTGGCATCAAGTTCCCACCCTTTTACTTTTGAAATAGTTGAATATAACCGCCACTTCTACTCCAACATTTTCTCTTCTCGCACTTCCCGACAGTGGAACTCCCTTCCGATTTCTTGCTTCGCTGATAACTACAATCTTCAATAACTTAAATTCAATGTCAATCGCCATCTTGCCTTCTTAAACCCTGTTCCCATTTTTGTCCTTTCCTCAAATCTTTCTATTAACACTCTTCTCATTCTCTTTCTCTTTCACACCCTGTAATCCCCTGCGTCTTAGTGGCATTATCGCCTTTCTTGGAGTGAAATGATGAGAGGGACAGGAGAAGAAAGCCGTGGGATTTGGCAACGTTATAATATTTGATAGGGTGATCACTTTTGGCAAATTTGCAGACCATACATCAAAGTTAACTTAATGTTCGTCTCACTGTCCACAAGAAATAATATACATAAAATATCCATTAATATACAAGGAATAAGATTTGTTTTATTAAAAAAGGTAGAATTTTTGGAGTTTTACAAATGATATCGAATTTCATTTGGTGCCAAAATGCTGATAAAAGTCTATTTTAAGGATCGATGTTTGTAGAGTCTATTCATACGTTTGTTGTAAAAATTCTTCTCGTCTTTTATCGCCTAAATATTAACCGCCATTTTCTTTTTATCATTTTTATCATTATATTTATCAAACGTCCAATATAAAATTTATCTGCACGGAGCTATATCGACCTGTTGCTGGCAACAGGTATCGCACGTTTCTCAAAAGACGTTTATCATATTTATCTCAATAAAAATTGATTAAAAAATATTTATTTCTTCTGTTCTTATTTACAGTTGTTACCAATTATATCATGTGTAGGCTTCTTGCAACAAAATTTATATATAAAATTCTGTGACTTCTGTTAGTCTGTCCGTCTGCCCATCACACCCTCTAAAATAGCCAATCGAAAGCAAATTTGGGGGAAAGTGCCAAAAGGTAAGGGTACAAAGTACAGCATTATTTTTTTTAATATAACTTTACGTAAGCTGTCTAAAATAATTGAAATCAGTTGTTTTTTACTACGTAAGTTTTTTCATAACGTTGCAAACACGATTTTTTTACAAGAATCCAGTTTCCAGTTCGCCCTGCGTTTGCGAGAACTATAAAAAAAAAATCACAAATGCTGGAAAAAGTTGGAATTTGTCTCCGGTAAGTAATATTTACGCATGTATGTTGCATGCTCAAGAGTTAGAAATCCTAAGAATTTATTCTTCTCTGTTAAAAAGAGAAAAAAAACATTTCTTTCTTAAAAATTATTGTTTTGCCTGGAAATCCTATAAAATTAAATTAAATTAAAGAAATTATTAAACCGTGAAGTAGGATTTTTGCCGAAGTATTTTTTCAAACAAATCATCTCATTCAAATTTCATCGATTGGTTTACAAAATTGAGCAAAACATAGAGTTTGTAAATCTCAATAAAAAATGTTGACGATAACTTCAACAATATTAAACAATGTGACGATTTCAACACGTGTCAGCGTGTTCCACAGAAATACTAAAATACTAAATACTAAAACATTAAAAAAATACTAAAAACACTGAAAATAAAAAATAAAAACAAAAATAAATAAATAAATAAATAATTAAAATAATAAACTAATGAAATAAAATACAAAAATAAATCATTAAAAATTGAAAAATAAAAATATAAAATAAAATATAAAAAATATAAAATATAAATATATATAAAAATAAAAAATATGAAAAATATAAAAAATAAAAACACTAAAAAATACTAAAAAATGTTAACAATAAACTCAACAATACTAAATACTGTGAGGATTTCATCACGCGTCAGGATGTTCCACAGAAATACTAAAATACTAAATATTAAAACACTAAAAATACTAAAAACACAAAAATAAAAACCCTAAAAAATAAAAACCCTAAAAAATAAAAATAAATAAATGAAAATAAAAGTAATAAAATAAAAATAAAAAATATAAAAATATATAAAATATAAATATATATAAAAATAATAATATAAAAATATATAAAAAATAAAAACACTAGAAATAAAAACACTAAAAAATACTAAAAAAATGTTAGCAAAAACTTAAACAATACTAAATACTGTATTTCATCACGCGTCAGGATGTTCCACAGAAATACTAAATATTAAAACACTAAAAAATGCTAAAAACACAAAAAATAAAAACGCTAAAAAACAAAACTAAATAAATAAAAATAAATGTGATGAGAGATGCTGAACCAATTCAGCATTGATTTGGGCCTCTAGGAGTTTCCCAAAAGGAGGCAGAAGGTTAATAGGTTAAGGCTGATAGTTGGAAGGGTCAGATGGTTCACCAGAGTTCTTAAAAACTGGAACAACAGATGATGACTTCCAGCAGGTAGGAAAGCAGGAGGCAGCAAGGCATTTATTATACAGTTTAGAGAGAACAGGAGCCAGTTTGGCAGTACACTATTTAATGACTATTACAGGGATACCATCAAGTCTTTATGGATATCTAGGTTAGAGATTATAGCAGAGATCATGGAAGGGGTTATATGCATATCACTCAACAGAGATTCGGTTCTTGGGGGGAAGTTAGGCAGGGATATTCCAGATGAGACAAGAGTATACTTTTAGGAGAATTTACATTCAGAAATAAATTCTCTCTAGGTTACCTAACTCGATATAGACGTGATGAATGCCGGAGGATACAACAACCGAAAAGTGGTGATAACAACATATGGAGAGAGAAGGGAGATCACCTCCCTCTGTGGGATCATGTTGAGATCATAGACAGGGAACACCATTGGAAAATTCGTAAACTTATGGAATCAGCACATATGCTAGGCCACAAAAATCTCCTGAGCCGACCAAGCATAGAAATAAATACAATATGGGAATCAGTAATAAGGAGTGCCAGAGAAAAGCAATGATAACAACAAAGTTGCAATACGAGTACTGGTAAAAATGGTTGCTGAAGACATTAGGTTTATAATACCCAGAAATTCATACCAAGATGTCCTCAAGGACACATGGCACAGTGGATAAAGGCGTTGGTTAGATCCAGTGACAAAACCCAAGTTAAGGCAGTGGAGAACTTTCAATACCCGGTTAAGGCAGTGGAGAACTTTCAATACCCGGTTAAGGCAGTGGAGAACTTTCAATACCCGGTTAAGGCAGTGGAGAACTTTCAGAGGGAAAATTAACTGATAGCTATCATCCATGGCACGTGGAACTAGAACAGACTACCCCAGTGAGCGAAATAAAGGGTTCAGTTCAAAATTCCAAAACGGCCGAAACGTTGTGATAAATATGGCGACAAAGATGAGGATAATAGATAATATAAATAATGTACATAATATAGACAGACTCTGAACAACAACAAAGATGAGGACAATAGTCCGAATATAAATAGTGCAAATAATGATAACTCCACATCCCAGAAATTCATTCCATGTAGGTTACCCAGATCGATATACAATTGATGAAGGCCGAAGCGTTGTGATAACAACAACAAAGATGAGGACAATTGTCCGAATATAAATAGTGCAAATAATGACAAATCCATTCCGCATTTAAATAGTGTAAATAATACCACTTCAGCCCAGAATGTCATTATGAGAAATGATTGCGATAAGGAAAAGCAATAGTCGTAATAGCGTCTTCCTTCTTCACTTCTGAAGGGAAACTTATGGTCATTAGCAAAACTATACGAAATTGTAGACGTCAGAAGAAAGGAAGTACAGACATTTAACTTTCTGGCTAGCGTGATAACAGACGACGGAAAGTGTGACACTGAAAACTGAAGTAGAGTATCAAGAAACATGAAAAGTATCATTAGAAATAAAGAAAAGAAAGTTGATCTGCTATGTAATATCAAACCTCTTATATGGTAGTGAATGCTGTCAGAATTTTTGGTGGGGATGGCTAATAACTTGACAGCATAACACGCGACATCGATGCAGCGTTGATGGAAGGCACAAAAAAGATGCAAGAACTTCTAATGAGATTGCAAAAAGAAAAAAAGGTGGAAGAAAAAACTGAAGATCAATTGTAAGAAGGAAGAATACTGCACCTTTGTGCAAATTAATTGAAACAAAACTAATAAATCCGTTATTATTTACCTTTTTTCCTATGGTTCCAATGAAACATGACCCAATGCACATGTTAGTAATTCGTATGTCCATTCCACGAAGTCGTTCCTTGCAGATTAACCACAGATTCTTGATTGGATTTAAATCAGGAGAGTTTCTGAACCAGTATATAGTACTTTGATTTGATCACTGGTAAGGTTTGAGAATGTGTTCGTTCAGCGTTACAGTTTTCATAAGCATCTTTGGAGTAACGTCAATCGCAGACAATGGACATTGGACAACTAATCGACAGTCAAGACAATATTGTCTTGGCGTGATATAAATGACACGATCACGGATGATGCAATATTTTTCAAGGTCAAACAAATTTCATCATACATCCCGAAAATAGATTCCTATTATTCCCCACCAATGCAAGTGACCTAATCTGAGAAATAAAATTGAAATATCTTACACCCTTTCACACCAATATGTCTAAAATTGACCGTATGGTGAAAGAAAGGAAACTACAGCAATTGT